GGTTCCAATGAACCAACGAATTTTACAATAACTTTAAATTCTAATAAACCGTTAGCGTTTTCCTTTCATTTCAATATTAATGTGAATTCTGCTTGTAATAGTAATAAATAAATAGAATACTACTTTAAATATGAGTTATATATTAGTTATCTAAGAGCTTTATATGGAATATTTAATGACTAACGTTATTACTATATATGATAAAAATCTCTTTATATTATTATCCAGCGACCTCTGGTGGTTAGAGTTTTGGCCATGTTTAAGTGTTTATCCAACACATGCTAGTTATGACTGTCATTATTAATGTCATTTTGGACAAGTAAACTAGTGTGTTATAATTCATAACTCACTATTATTATATATAATAATGAAATAGTTTTAGGTGAAATTGCGTAAAACTTTCAAAACTTAGTTTTTTTTATATTTACATGTTAATGTAAAGGAAATAATAGTTCTCGTTTGGTAATTTATTCCGAGCAAAACAGTACTTTGCTAAAAGTTAACACTATTTTGCTCGTAAAAGCAAAATTTTCTCAGTGCAATATAGAAATTACGGAAAAAATGGAAAAACTGAAGTTAATACAGTTGAGGAGTGATATTTCAAAAGGTCGTATTTCCATTTGCAACAATTTTTAAAAAAAATGACTATAACCTGTATAGCTTAGGGTAATATAGATTATTAAAAAAAAAATTCTGATGAATATTTAATAATACTTCAGACCTACTTGGAATTTTGTCAAAAAATTACATTCAAGTAAAAATGGAAATCAGGCCTTTTGAAAAATCACTCCTCAGTTACAGATATAATATAAAAATATTAATTTTACAAAACTAATAATCACATTTTACACTGTTATAAAAATCAGACTTTGTTAATTTTATTTTGTAAAATTTTAACATAATTTTTTTGTAGAAAACAAGGGTTTAAAATAATTTAAAAAAAGAAAATATTTTACCAAAATGCTTAACAAATTATTTCGTTCAAAAAGTACGTGATTTTCCATTGAAAATACCTTGTCCTTGTATAGGTTTTGGAATCATTCACTGCGGTGAAACGAAAGTATGTGGTGCCATCTACCGTCTTTTGACATGTTCTTTTATACATTTAAGATGGTAAATGACACCACTTACTTTCGCCTCACCGCAGTGAATGGTTCCAAAACCTATATAAGGACGAGAAATCATAATTTCGTTTGTGTTCCGCACCAGACTCGGTACTGATGAGTTCCAATAAACTTTATTGAATAAAGCAAAACAGCTGTTTATGAATGCTGGTGAGAAACACGAACGAAATTAAAGAAAAGCAGAGACGAAATAATTACATCAGTAGTAGTGTTGTAGTAGTACTGATAAATTATGTATATTACTGATAAATTATATATATATTTCTACCAAATTTCTTTAAATTTGATGATTTTAGAATTGTGATTATTTAATTGTGTGTATGTTTTTTTGTATTAATTTATGTAGGTCTGTGTTATTTTTTTTGTTTAGGAAATTGATTAAAAAAGCAACATTTCTTATCAAAATTCTTTTAATTGTACTTCCGAGAGTTCCAAAAAATACTTTTGTTACTGGGTCTACAAAAAAGTTTGTAAAAATACAAAATTACAAGAATTATTGACATAGCATTTTGTTATTAAATCTATAAAATGTTTGTTATATAATTACCAACTTCTTATTCAATTAGTTAACAGATTACAGTTGGTTGTAAACTTAACAGTTATGAGGACCTGGATTAACATAAAATCTGGTTAACATTTGATTAAAATTAACAAATATTTTTTTACTGTGTAAATAAGATAATGACCAAATATACGCATGTAAGGAATAATAAAGATATATAATCTAAACCATTTTTTATCTATACTAAATAACTAGAAAAGTAAACATTTTATTTCCATTTTTCCTGTTTCTGATAGACAAGCGTTCATAACCGGATTACAAGGTTGGGTAAATATTTGAGAGGCCAAAGCCGGTGCCGAATAAATGTCAAAAGCTAAAACTAGACATAAATCTAGACAACAGGGGACGTCACTTAGCAGCAATTAAAACTCCCCCGCAGGATTAACGCGATTACGAGGCGTCGCAAAACATACCGATACCAGAGCCATCCTGTGTCTGATAACTCCATTAATTACCCGGCAAAATGACGATGAAGATAAAATTAAAATGTGCTTTTATTTAGGCGATGTTGTCCTTTAAAGATGACAATATGATTAATAGGTCAAATAATGTAGAAAACGTGTTTAAAACACAAAATAAATATTTACCTTATACACTCTCAGATAAAAATATCGCATATTTTCTGTCACCATTAATTGAAAATAATTGTGTTTATTAAATTAAATTATAAAATATATTATATTATAAGTTACTGATATTCATCTAGTAGACGGATATGTCCAGTTGCTTTGTAGTATAGAACTTATGTCATAAGACGTCTTTTTTCACTTGAGGATAATTTACAATTTGTGGACGATTGCGAGAAAATGTCTCTTGACATGAGTTCTTTATACTATTTCTTATATTTGTCAAAATTTGAAGAAAAAAATCGAATTATATATTATATTTTCGTATCGTACTGTGCTTATTATTGGTATACAAATAGAAAAAAATATTTTGACGTTTAATGTATAAATGGACTCGAGTCTATACCCTTCCGTATATTTTATACAAAAAACTCCTTTCATTCATAATTAAAGAATTATAGTGAATTAAGTTATTTGTGGTGAAATTAAGTAAGTAATAGTGATTCGCATTTTGACTTAACTTAAGTCACTATAATTCTTAAATTACGTAATAAACTCTTTTTTGGCATAAAATGCACATCCGAGTACTAAATTAATAACATTAAATAATAATATACACTTACTTCAATATTTAAAATTATTTTTAAGTAATGGTGAAAATATGCGATATTTTTTCTGTGTTTAATATTGAGTACTTGAGTACTCTTAATTAACTTTATTAAACTCAAAACCATCGGTTAATAAATTCTGTGGTGTCTGGACGAAAAACAAAACCAAGTTATGTATGTATACAGACTTGACCATTTATTGAGTTTTGCAAAGATTGAAACAAATGATGGTGCAAGTTTGTTCTCTACGGTACAATGTTTATCCCAAAAATTAATCAAACTTGACTAAAAAGTTTATTAGGTATAATAATATTAGGTATAATAATATTTATGGTGACAACAGCTGTCAAGTTTTGCTGCGGGTAAACTCAAAAAAACTGCTGACAGGTGCTGTCATACAGTTTTTCCACCTAGAAACCATTTGTAAATAAAAATTGCGCGTTTGTGGTTGGTGAAAATTAAGACGAGGGAAATATTCAGAGATAATTCAGTTTAAATCAATTTTATGTACCTTTTGTTAAAAATTTGGGATTCCACGCTAGATATAATAATAATAATAATAGCAAAACTTTTTAAATGTAGTCTATCCATTATTTATATCCTGGTAAGTCTACCGCAATTCCCATTTTAAACGCAATAAACCTGGCAAATTTATTTTGAATGCGTTTAATTTTATCAATATAGATATTAAAATAAGGTGACCTTACTACTGAGTTGAATTCAACTTGTGATCGTACCATTGAAGAGTATAGGATCTTGATACACCCCACCCTCGTAAAGTCTCGCGTATTTCTTTTTATGAAGCCCAAAAGTTTGTTAGCTTTATTAGTTATGAAGTTAATATGACCCGCAAAGGTTAACTGAGGGTCCAACCAGACACCCAGATCTTTTTTTCCGATACTTAGTTTAACGGAGTACTGTAGAGTGTATAGTTAAATTCTAAATTGGATTTAGATCTGTGAAACTATATAATTTTACATTTGCTTAGATTCAGTTTTAAGTCATTTGTTAGACACCACTCAGTCAGCCTCTGCGTGAGCTACATTGCAATAACTGACAGTCCCACAAGGATGAAACCCTTTTATACATTTTTAGATCGTCTGCGAAAAGCAGGTAGTTTGAATTCCTTATACATTCACCTATGTCATTAATAAAGCAGTTGAAGAGCAACGGAGCAAGGTGGGCACCTTGTGGTACTCCAGAATGAACCGGGATGGGGTTGGAGATAGCCTTAAACAGTTGTACCACCTGGGTCCTACCCTTCAAGTAGCTCTCAATCCAATTTAACAAGCTTCCTCCGATTTCCAAGGCTTTGAGTTTCTGAATCAGGATATTATAATTTACAGTGTCGAAAGCTTTGGAGAAGTCTGTATAAATAGCGTCTACCTGATATCTTCCTTCCAAAGCTCCAAACACATAATCTGTGAAAATTATTAAGTTACTGGTTGTGGATTTATCTTTAGTAAATAAAAGTATTTTGTTAGGTTTAAATAGGGTTTTCTATTTAACAAGATGTTATTTCTGTGAATATTCCGAAAACCTGATGATCAATTGTTTTTCTGTTTTCACCATTTTAATCAGAATTAAAAAATATTGAAGTTAGCAATGGTAAGAAGATAACTTTGTACACCCTATATAATATAGTAGTCAGCAGTATACAGGGAATATTTTCTTGAGTTTTTTTACTTCTGATAATTGCTTGAAGTTAGAAAAAAATAATGTTTATCAGTCATTGCTCAAAGTAACAGTAAAAAACGAAATTTTAAAATTTTAAGATTAAAAACATGGTTTTTTGATTCTTGGGGTCGTCATATTTGGATGACATATTTCTTATGCATAAAAATTATAGTACAGGATTGATTGATTGATACTGGGATCGCGAACAGCGACGCGATTTGGAAGTTCTCTCATGTTGCCATGTTTTATATAAAAATCTCATGCATTTTTACAAATTCTAGCAAACTCGTACTTTTTCATGAGAAAGTATTTTTTATTTTTGTTATATTATTTTTACAAAGTATAATGGTCAGTTATTTTCAAATTTTTTTCCGAACTAAAATCCCATCTCTACTTATTACATTTAATAACTATATAGTAAGATTTGGGCAAAAATCATTTTTGACAAAAAATATTTTTTGCAGGATGGCGAGAATCGATCCTAGCATTCCCGAAAAAGCTTTTGTCGGGGACGTCCCTGGTGCACTCGAAAGCGACGCAGGCGGATAACGAGGTAAGCAAAAAAAATTCCACCTGTACGTGACACGCAATTTCCCACGCGCCAGGAAATCCTTTTCTCCTGCCTCGTCTTTTCAAAGGTCCTGCCGCATTGTTTGAACGTAATTTTGTCTCGCAGCAGGATACCTTTCCCCTTATGCAGGATTAAATGAGTTGCCAAATTGTGCACGCCACGAGTAGATGCAAATATTTTTAATACAAATAAAAAATTAAAAGTTAAGGACAGACAATAACTATTTAATTTATTTTTATGTTTTTTGTTTTTAAAAATCCAGTTGTAAGTAAATATCAAAATAAAATAGTTCTTTGAAAACTCTACCAACATATATTCTGTCCTTTACTAATCATTTACAAGGTCTGTTTCGTACTCGTATTGTTCGTAAACCGGAGAATATTAAGATAGTTTTGCAGAGTTTACAGGATAATCAAATAACCTCAACTGGGCGTGGTTTTCAAGAAATGAACATTTGTAAAATATATTGCGTATACTCTTAAAATGAATTAGTCCAAAATGACTACTTACTACAGTGCGTTTTTTCACTTTTCCCATTTAACATCCAATTTTTATGTAAAATTGTCCCCTGAATCTAAAAATGCCGTCAAAAATTATGAAAGTACAGCAGTTTTTGAGATATTGTCAATTACATATTATATGGAAAATAGACTATATCTCAAAAACTGTTCTACTTTTTTTAACTTTTGAAGACATTTTCGGATTTAGGGGACAAATTGCTATTACGAGAAATATTAGTGGCTGCTTTTTTGCTAATTATATTTTTACTTATCAGTCATTTTTTACTAATTCATTTTTAAAAAGTATAATATTAAAAAATTACATACAAATGTGCAATTTTTTTAATTTAATTTAATTATTTAAGAACATAATTTACTTAAATGTATAGTCTTAATATAAAAATCGTATACTAGTAGGTAGGTACGCTTTTAAATAAAAAAAGTATATTCTTGTTAATAAAAATAAATATTGTATCTAATAATTATTAAGTAATACTTTATTGTTTAAAGGAATTTCTTAGAAAATCATTTCTTAATAATTAATTTTAAATTTCAATCACTAATGAGTTTATAAATTTCGTTAGACCCGAATAAATTAAAACGACTATTAACGTTAATTTATGCGCTAAATCAGAAAATATAATCCGCGGATTAAAGATTTGCGTTTGGCAATTGATTCTGGTTTTCGAATTCTAGTACGCAAAATTAAAGAGAGATTTTTTGTCGGACCCGTTATTCGAAAATTAAATGCTTACGAAAACTTTACAAAATCTTTAAAGCCCGGTCTACTATGGCTTACGTCTTACGTCAAGTAATCACAATGCTTTATATTTCCCATTGGTTGACGTAAGACGTAAGCCGCAAAAAGATACATTCTGCGACAATTGTAGACCGGTAAAGCAGCAACATGAGCATCATTTAAAGTGTTGTTTACCACTTTCTCTGTAACCGCAAATCATCGACAATTTGTTGAAAAATTACCGCAATATTGGAGCTCGAATGTCTCTTAAGATGCATTTTTTTCATTTCCATCTCGATTTTTTTCTTAAAAGCTTAGGCGATACGAGTGATGAGCAAGGAAAACTAGCGAGCAAGATCTAGCGAACATCAATAGGCGATACGAAGGAATGATAAGCAACTACTGTTGGACTTTACTGTAATGCGTAAAACAGATTCCTAACAATGAAAACGACTCAGTTTAACCATTCTTCATATCTGATTTATTTAAATTAATAAAATGGCCACTTATTGTCAAAAATTGTAAAAAGTTATTAACTTTCTAGAAAATTAGAACCAATCTTCAAAAATGAGGTTAAGGTTTAGATTCAGCGCCCCAAATTATCTTAGAAACAATTTTTGGTTGACCAGGTCAAAAACCGTGTATATATAGTATATACAAGTATTTCTTTCGAACGTTAGCCACTAGGATTAGTGGTTATCGTTATATTTAATCGACCTGATTGGCCGGTTTGGCACTTGGGACTGATTCTAGTGGCCGGCACAGACGCCTGATTAAGCCCCTTGCGACTATTTTTTATGGGTCTATTTAAAATAACTTATTTGCAATGATTCTCTTAGCATGGTCCTAAACCTGAAGAACATTCGTCAAGAAGTCGTCAAACTAAACTCGATTGAGAATAATGCCTGATATAATCTTTAAAACTAAGTAAGCATAAAATTTAAATGTTGTGCTTAATGCTGTTCATGGATATCTGTTTTATTTTTTTATTAAATTTCTAAAGAAGCAAGTATTTTTAACATAGTAATTCTAATATGTAGAATTGGTATATCCCTAGTTTCGATTATTATTTTGTATTTTAATTTTATACCAACTTAATAAAATAGCACAATTCATAAGGTATAAAGACCTGGGAGGCCAACTAATAGACCACCACCACACAATTACGAAAAAGGCTTAACAACTAAAGAATTAAATAATTACATTAACGTGTGAAGTTTGGTGCGGTCCTTCTGACTCTCTCTGAGTATGAGTATGAGTATGAGTATAAGAGACGTATAACCAGCCCCATTTCATCATCACTCTCGGACCCCGTACAGGCCTATGTTTACTTACGCCGATTTTTGTTCGCCCCCAGCAACTGCACGGCTTTACCCGTGTTTGCTGGGTGCGAATGTCCATTGCGTTCCGTACTGTCCCCTATTTGAGGCTCGAGAGCGAGATGCGAATAGTTTTAATAGCCATTCTCGGGTTCGCCGAGCCGATGCTATACGCCCAGTAGGGTATAGGAGGAGGGACGGGAGGGTTTTTGGGGGACAATTACGCCGACTTAAAACTAAGTACGACGCGGAATCCTCCTAGACCAGTTGATTAGTATTACTCCAAACATTTGGGATTACTATTTGGAGTTGGGGAGTTGTTATTTCGCTGCAGGAGTGTAGTTTCCTAGTCGAGGTCTTTGTCTTGTGTTATTGTCATTGTCCGTGTCCTGGTCAGATAGTTCCTGCACTTGGTAAAGTGTGTCAGTTGTTTTTATTTTTTTTTTTATTGTTGCTTAGTTGCTCCCAACTGGTCTTGTTAATTTATGAGAAGTGCATGTTTCGTGGTAACGTGTCATGATATGTGAAGCATGGTCTCCCGACTTTTATGTCTGTAAGGTCTAGTTTAAGGATGGCTTGTAGTATGTTGTTGCGTTGCCTACGAGTGACTTAGGCCCAGTATTTTAATTGGGCTACTCTTACTCTTTTGGTAATGGTTTTGCCCATTAGCAGGTCGCTGGGATGTTGGTGATGGTAGTCGGGTAAGTCTGTCTTTAGTAGTGTGATGATCTTCCGTTCAAGTTTGCGTAAATTTTGTTCCAAGCACGTTTTGTGGTAGAGTTTTGTCTTTTTTTCTTAAATTCAAAAATTAAGTATTGCATTTATTTATTAGTTAAACAAATGACAAGCGCAATTATTCTGTTATCTAATGTTTACAAATCTAGTAGAGTTTGGTTATTTGGCTTTTTTTTACTGTGTTAGGGTTATAATGATAAATGTGTTAGTTTATTCTGTGAGTCTAGTGTTTATTTTCGGTTTCGTTTGGGATTGCATTACGCATTTGTAGTTGACAGATTTATTGCCCTACGCCGTGTGCCTTTCTTAGGTTTTAAATATCTGCCGTGTTTAAATTGCAGATTTTGTATTAGGTCATGCATATTCTTAAGGTAACTTATCAATTTTTTTTTTGCGGATAGCCACCTCCCCTCTTGTTTGACCTCTTTTGTTTGTCCAGTGAAAAGCGTCCAATGACAGGTGGCACTTAACTCATTCATATCACTTAACACTTTACTCCTTAGTGACCGTTACACCATTTTAGTTTGCACTCTATAAAAATTGTTTATTTCACTATAATTAGTTTGCACTTTTTAAAAATTATTGTTGGTTTTAATCTTTAAACTTTTACGTTTTAAGCTTTCACTCCCGCGTCGTGCCTTCTCAAGCGCTGGAACCTGACGAGAAAAATGTTCGTTTCATCTTCCGTAGAAAATTGTCTTAAGACCTAAAACACTTTCATACCAAATTTTATTAAAATGCGTTCAGCCGTAAAATACCCTTAAAATGGCGGATGCGCGGGGATTAAAACTGAATTTTGGTTCTAATTTAGGCCCTTGGAGGTGAAATTTAAAAAAATTATTTTTAGGCGGTTTTCTTGTAATTATAGGAATGCACTGTCAATATTTTGGCCCTTTTTTGGCCCTGGTATAAGGTAAGTGCGGGTAATAAGGCCCACCTAACGCATTATATTAAAAAAACAAAGAAAACGTGTACATTTTTTATTTATTTTTATTTCATAAACATATATTAACTTTAAACTATATACTGTAACATTTATAAACTCAAATGAAATAAACAAAAAGAAAAATTCTTAGGTTTTTAAAAAACTCGTTAATGGGCCTTATTTCATGCTCAACAGATAATAAAGCCCATCCATTCAGGGTGCACATTTGGGACAAATAAACACATCTTCATCCTCAGGCGTCAGTCCGACACATTTTTCATGAACCCAGGTGAGGAACATGGCACACTGACGCATATCAGCCTTAAAATCCAGTTCACAAAGCTTGCAGGACCAATCTTCCTCGGGGTTGGCGTCTGCGCTTTCTGTCGAGGTCGATGGTTCTACAGTGGCCTTCGTTTGACTGATCTTCGCTTTCTTCTTGCATTTTGTTGCCAAACCTCTCTCCTTTTGGGGTTTCTTCCCAGTTTCATTATTTGGTGGGCCTTATTACCTGCTTTGTAACGATCCTTGTTTTAAGGTTATAACTCAGACATGTATAGTACAAAACCAATCATTTTCTAGGAAAACATTGGTAATATGTGTATTGATACATACCTGTAATGGCGCAGCAATTGAATAAATGCTTTTTAGGCACAGCTCTATGAAAATACCACAATTTTTATAATTTCACGAAAGAAACTTGTTGTCGAAATACTTGTTGTATTTACTATCAGCAAACGACATCTTATTAAGGCGGAACTCTA